TTTCTACAGCTTTACAAACTGCCCAACTCCTGGTCAATTAATCTCTCAGGTATGGAAGAGTTTTTGTTCAGCTCTTTGGGCCAAGGTCTCACTCACTTCTGGTTACCATCCTCAATCCAATGGTCAGGTTGAACGCATGAATCAGGAGTTGGAGGCCAGTCTCAGATGTCTATCTGCTTCAGATCCCATAGAGTGGAGCCAGTTCCTCCCGTGGGTTGAGTATGCCCACAATGCCAACATTTCCTCTGCTACTGGACTCGCCCTATTCGAGGCCTCGATTGGGTACCAGCCCCTTTTTCCGGCCGAAGAGGCTACCATTGCGGTGCCTTCAGTTCAGAACCACATCTGCCATTGTTGGACCTTCTGGAACCGAGCCATGACTGCCCTGGGAAGATCTGCTGGGCAAAATCAGAGGTGGGCTAACCGCAGGAGGAGGGTTACTCCTACTTATCTCCCATACCAGAAGGTCTGGCTTTCTACTCGGGGCATACCTCTGAAGGCTATGTCCAAAAAGATGTCCCCACGGTTTATTGGTCCATACGAAGTGGAAAGGACCATTTGGGAATCTGCCGTCAGTCTCCGTCTCCCCTCCTCTCTCAGGATACACCCCACCTTCCATGTGTCCCAGGTCAAGCCCGTTTCGTCCAGTGTGCCCACCCGCTGAGCCCCCTCCCTCCTTAGACATTGATGGCCACCCCGCCTACACGGTCCGCAGAATCGTGGATGATCGTCCCCGTGGGCGTGGGTGGCAATATCTAGTGGACTGGGAGGGTTACGGTCCAGAGCATCATTCCTGGGTCCCTGGATCCTTTATTTTGGACCCCTCCCTCATTAGAGACTACCGCCTTTCTCAGCCCTCCGGCTCTTCTGGAACGCTGGGTGGCGGTCATTGAGGGGGGGTACTGTTAGGAATCCAGTTTGTGTGGGTTGTGTTTTTGTGTAACAAAACAAGTGTAACAAAAAAAAGACTTGTCTCCAAGACCAAAGTAGAAAAGCGAGCTAAAAAAAAGTCTTCAAAGCTGACCCACTAACCTAAAAGCACTATTAACAACTCTGAAGACCTCCAACAAAAACATCTTAGTCTCCATAACAGCCATTAGAGACTATGTGAAGAAGGCAGGTTTGGTTGATGGCAGTCTATGAAACAATCTGACTGTATGATCTGGTTAAATTGTCTGTCAAGATTTGAACAACTCCAAAGGAGACAGAGAGAAGTAGGTATGTATCAAGAACATTATTAAGGTGTATACCTACGTGGTGTGATGGTCACATTGTCAGTAACCCCACATACAACCACATATTCATAAGTTTTAATACACAGTACCATAAATGTATTGGTTTGTTTATTTTGACAATATTAAAGACATTAGTTCCAATTGCAGCATGCACATTTGGTTAACTTTTGTATATTTAATTTTGTCCAATGCTTGATA